CAAAGAGGGACTTCCCTGGTGGTCCAGTGATAAAGAATCTGCCTTCCAATGCAGGGGACACAGGTTCGATACCTGGTCGGGGAACTAAGATCCCACATGCCACAGGGTGACTAAGCCCGCACACCACAACTGCTGAGCTCACACAAGAGAGCTTGAGTGCCACAACTACAGAGCCTACGTGCCCTGGAGCCCATGCACCACAACTAGAGAGAGAAAATTGACACACCGCAACTAGAGGAAAGCCCGCGTGCCCATAAATAAATATTAAAAAAAAAAAACAACGAAAGAGCAAACATAAAAAGTCTTGAAGACTCTGGTATGCAGTAAATCAAGAAGTAACTAGCCAGGTAGAGGGAGGGGTAAGGGTGTGTGTGTGTGTGTGTGTGTGTGTGTGTGTGTGTGTGTGTGTGTGCGTGCGAGAGCGAGAGCGAGAGCGAGAGCGAGAGAGAGAGAGAGAGAGAGAGAGAGAGAGAGAGAGAGAGAGAAAGAGGAGTGGGGGAGAGGGAGGAGAGAGGTATTAGGGAGAAGACACAGCTAGAAAGATCTCAAAGAACTTGAACTATCAAAGGTATATGAGCGGGACTTCCCTGGTGGCGCAGTGGATAAGAATCCACTCTGAATGCAGGGGGCCCAGGTTCGATCCCTGGTCAGGGAACTAGATCCCACATGCATGCCGCAACTAAGGAGCCCACGTGCTGCAACTAAAGAGCCGGCAAGCTGCAATTAAGGAGCCCCGGAGCCGCAACTAAGGAGCGAGCCTGCCTGCTGCAATTTAGACCCGGCACAACCAAATAAATAAATAGTTTTTTAAAAAATGAGCTGGAAAGTGATATGGTCAGCACTGTGTTTTAGTCTAGTCCTCAGATCAGAGTTAAGAGATAAAAATAGTGAAATCATGGGAGTTAAGACTGACCCAGAAAAAAAAAAGTACAAAGACAGAAAAAGGATGAAGATTAAATCCTGAGAAATAATTATACTGGGGAGGAGAGGTGAAAAACACATGAGATTTGAGAGATAGGAAACCAAGCAGAGAATGGCATAAAACCAAAAGGGAAGCATTAAGTAGCAAGCAAGCAACAATATCAGAATAGAGGATGAATGTATCCAGGGAGAATCTCCTTTGGCAATCAGGAGGTTGCTAGTGATCCTGAGACTGACAGTTTTAATATAATTGGGTGGGGGTATGGGGAGAGCCAAGTCATAATAAATTAAGCAAAAAGGTAAAGAATTATAAAAGAAGCAATTGGGGGCTGCTTTTCTAAGAACTATGACAGTGAATGGAAAGAGAGAAAAGGGCAGAGGTTTGAAGCCAAAGCAGAGTACAGGTTAAGTTTATATGAGGGGGATAGGTGAACTTTCTTATCCTCATAGAAGTGAGAATAAAGGAGACTGAAACAAAATAACAGGAGGCATGCTGCTAAGTCCTGGGGGGAAAAAGAAGGCTGAACAAGAACAAGTGGAAGCAGGCAATGTAGCAGGTGCCTTGGAAAAGAGGAGAATATAGGGGAAACTAGAAAAGGTTGTGGTATTATTGACCAAGAAAGTTAAGGGCATTCAAACAGCTGGATAAAGTAATGTGCTAAGAATTAAACAGGGTTAGGTTTAACAAAATAAGATTTCAACAATAGCTATTTGGAATAGGATAATCACTTGGAAATGAAGAAAATGTGCACTGAAGGCCTAGGTGGTAACGGCAAAAGTAAAGGAATAAGGAGAATTATATGTTAAAACAGCAAACTTAAAGTAGTAATATTGAAAGGTTTGGGGAGATATAAACCCCCAAGCAACTGATAACTGTATATGTAAAATTGTACAACACAAATATTTGTATATCCAAAAGATTTCCAAAACCCAGCAATAGCCCACTTACGTTAGTAAATATAATTATTATTACAATCAAATTCCAATATGAAATAAGTAGGTGGTTTTTATCGCATTGTGTTCTGACTTTCAAGTTTCACAGCAAAGTTCTGAACCTTGTTATCTTTCATAAACTTATTAGCTATCCCTTCGAACTCTTCATCCACAAATTCAATAAACTTAACTCCAACCAGGTTACTGGTACACAGGAAGAGGACATATTTTTTCAGCAGGATACTAAAGGCCTCCCTTCAGGGTTGATGATTTATTACTCATCATTCTTCAGGTACAGCTGTTTACCTGATAATCAAATTCAAACTGTATTCTCATCTAGCCCACATCCCTCCATTTTGACCATAAGACATGATAATTCTGTCAAATATGCTCTGATGAAATCTAACTGCGCAATGTCTAAGGCATTTGTCTAATGAACTAACCTATTAATCCTGTCAAAAAAGGAAATGAGGCTAAGTTGGCCACTCCCCAGCCAGCTCTATCTCTATTCAAGGTACTACCAGACTTGAATTTATTTATTTATTTATTTATTTAAATTGAAGTACAGTTGATTTACAATGTGTTCATTTCTACTGTACAGCAAAGTGATTCACTTTTATATATATATACATACACACACACACACACACACACACACATACACACACACATTCTTTTTCATATTCTTTTCCATTATGGTTTATCACAGGATATTGAATAGTTTCCTGTGCTATATAGTAGCACCTTGCTGTTTATCCATTCTCTATATACTAGTTTGCATCTGCTAACCCCAAACTCCCACTCCATTCCTCTCACACACCCTCCTCCAGACCTGAATTTAAATGATCCTATGAATTCTGTTAGGATCTTACTGCATTTCTCCAAGAAGACAAACTTCCCCACTTTTTAATTAACTACTTCTAAATGTATAAACACAAGGCAATTCCTCTCCAGCCTCCCACCCCCGCAATGAGAGAAAAAAGAAAAACAAAAGGTTTTCTGGTCACCTTGAATACATAAACTTTTGGTGATACAGATAAAAGAATCAAATGTCTACTTATAATATCCATTTTATTATGTTAGCCGTACACATTTAAAATCACATACTATATAAAATATTTAGAAATTCTTTTTCCCCCTTTTTAACACTTCATTAAATAATTTTGCTGAAAATTTTCCAGTGTATCTTTGGCATCTCTTCATGTTCACTAAAGAGACTGAGTCTTTTACCAGTTTGTCAAAGTATTATCACTTTCCTTTCATTTATTAAAGTTATTTGAGTTACAGAACTGTTTGAATTACGATCTTTTTAACCTAAGTCCTAAGTGCCGATTTCTAGACATTCAGGCAGTTTTTTCATTCTATAGGTAGTTGTGTGCTATAGATGTCGATTCACAATCTCTACAAGGTAACCACTTACTAGTATTGACTGAAGTAGCTTCAGACTTATATCTCCTCCAAACAATCCTTTGTAAGGCTTTGTATGGAGTAGAATAAAGTGACTCACTCTTTTCTGAGAGAGAAATCTGGGAGGAAAAAAGACCTTGCTTTATATCCAGGTAATCAACAAGTCAAAAATTCACAAAGAATAAGGAATTCAATTACTTCTTAAACACATTTCAATTAATAACATACACTACTGCTTATGTAAATACACGGATGCATTAACAGGAGTCTTTCTGAATTAACAAGTTAAAGTTTTCTTTCTGAATTAACACATTAGAGCTTTGCTATACTGTTATAAAAGAAGAGTAGAGAGTGGGTTACTCAATTCCCATGAATTTGTTTTCTTAAAGAAGCAGCAGCAGAAATAGTAACTCTAGCAATTTATGTTTATTGGGTGCTAATTAAGTTCCAGTCACTGTTTTAAGATTTTACATATATTAACTCAATCTTCACAATGCTCCTATGAAATAGGTGCTATTGATAATGCCACTGTATTGAAGAAGCTCAGGCACGGAGAGGTTTAGAAACTTGCCCAAAGTCATACAGCTTCTAAGTGGCAGAAATTCAGTCAAGTTCGAGGTCCCTCCCCCTTTTAAAAGATATATTGCCTCTTAAATTAGTAAAATTAGGTCTACATTTTAGGAGACAGTCCCATGTATTAAACAGTTAACAGTGTAGCTAACAGTGTAGTAGTCTAAAGAAGATATGAGTGAGGTTACAGTAAATTTTAATATATTTTCTGTTCTATTATTTTCTATTATCAATCCACACTGTCTGAAGGCCTAATGATGGGTTTGAGGGAGGAGTAGTTCATCCTTTGTATTTATGTTCCCTGAGCTAATCACTACCCCCATTTCAGTCAATACTTTTAAGGCAAAAGGTTCCTATTACAAAGACAGCATAGCAGAAACTAACGCCATGTCTTCCTTCTTCTCCTCCAAACTTTTTAACTGATGGTAGAGAATCTGCCTCTCTGGGCCTACATCTCCCTTGCTATCCCAAATACATAAAACTAAGTTTAACCATTTTCTTTGATAAGGCAACTATCCTAACCCATAAAACGATGGTAGTGCTTCCACAGTAATCATCTGGTTGTGTGCTGTAATGGGGTTGAGGAACAGTTTCCTAAGGAAAAAAAGGGTAAAATATGAACTTAAGAAAGGGAGGATAGGAGGGAAGGAGTAGCATGCAGATAAGGGAGGGAGTGGGGTGACAGGCACTGCTGTCTGACTTGTAGTTTCATGCAGGCAGAATGAGAACAGAAATTGAGGAGGTGGGGGTCCAGTCATTAAAACCTGTTATGGAACATTTTCTTGGATTTTCCTTCTTTGCGCCTTAGGCTCTCGCTTCAGAAGAAACTGAGACGCCGAGAATACTAACTGCCCTATCCTTCAGGACCCGGCACCACTCTTCTTCTGCAGCCCCAGGCCAGAGCTGGTCCCTTGAAAGCACTGCTCCCCTCCAGCCCTCGGCAGGGCCTTTCACACACCGGTCAACCGGCAAGAGGGACAACCAGAGCCTCTCCACCCCAAGGCCGGAGACCCGCGTTCCGGTCCTCGGCGGCAGCCTCCCTGGCTTCCCTTCCGGTAGGCAACCCCTGAACACTCCCACATTTTGCCGCTGAACCTGGGCCGAGCCATTCCCTAATAGCTGAACCCAGCGCCCCCAGGGTAAAAACCAAGCTGGACTGAGGGTCTTACCTTTAACAGATTAGACGTCGCCATGTTCCTTCAACTTAGACTCTCGCGAGACGGCGCGAGATTTCGTGGCGCTCCTTGCCAGGCCACAACTGCAGGCCGGAGTTTCCACCTGGGCTGACGGGGCCACCGGCCCGCAATGGAGATGTGGGGGGAGCCGGGGCGGCGTGCCAACAGCGGTGACCTCGTCCCAGGCACCTGGAGCTTCCTCACTTTTCCCCCCTACATGGTCACCGGAGCCTCCCCAGACGAAAGGGCTCATGCAAACGCTCAGGAAGATAGCAACGGTGAATAGTGAGAAGGTAACGGGAGCCGACCTGAATTGGAAGAGGAAGCATCGACTTCGCGAGCCCCCCCCCCCCCCACTCTTTCGGATTACCCTTTGTGGTTGCACCCGCAGAGGCCACCGGCAACGAACTTAGCCCGGCTTGGGCCCTGCAGCTCTGGTTCGGTGGCCGAGTCACGTGATGCGGCGGGCGGGGCCGCGCTAGGGAGCGAGCGTGGGAGCCTGAAAGCCTCGTGGGCCGGGAGGCTGCGGAGAGTGCGAAAGCACGCCCTCTGCTGGCGGGACTAGACGTATTCCCTCATCCCCCGCCTCGGGGGATTCCCGAATGAAATGCTTGTAATAGCTGTCTTCAAGAAGAAAGGGCACATAGAAGGCACCCACTAAATATTTGTTTGCATGAATGAATGAATGCATGCACGAAAGTGTTAACTATTAATATTTCTACTCAAGAGTGCCTGGCAGTGAAATAATCTATAAGAGGTTATTCAGGTAATGAATATAAATCTTGGATTAACTGAAGGCACATTATCCTAGAATATCCTAAGCCATAAACCCCTAAGCTTTATCCCTTCAGACCTCAAACCACTGGGAGAAGAAAGAGAATATACTCTATATATAGAACCTATATAGATATAGAATATATCTAGTATTATACACGTTTCCAAACTGTTCATTGACACATAATATGTTAGAAATAAATAAGAGAAGTACAGAGATAAATAAGAGCTATAGGGTAAAATAAAGCAGGCAAAGGTAATGACGTTTGCAGTGTTTTTTTTTTTTGGCTGCATTGGGTCTTCGTTGCTGCATGCGGTCTTTCTCTAGTTGCGGCGAGCAGGGACTACTTTTCATTGCGGTGCGCGGGTTTCTCATTGCAGTGGCTCCTCTTGTTGCAGAGCACGCGCTCTAGGCACGTGGGCTTCAGTAGTTGTAGCACGTGGGCTCAGTAGTTGTGGCCCGAGGGCTCTAAAGCACAGGCTCAGTAGTTGTGGCACATGGGCTTAGTTGCTGCAAGGCATGTGGGATCTTCCCGGACCAGGGATCAAACCATGTCCGTTGCAATGGCAGGTGGATTCTTAACCACCACGCCACTAGGGAAGTCCCTAGTTTGCAGTTTTAAATAGAGGGATCCAAGTAGGTCTCACTGAGAAGATGGCATTTGAGCAAAAAGACTTGAAAGAGATAAGGGAGAAGACCAGGACATATGCAGGAGAAGAGCATTCCAAATAGGGGGAAACACAGGTGGCAAGTTGCCCGGAGTGTCAGAGGAACAGTAAGAAGGTTGGTATGTTCAGAGCAGAGAGTAAGAAGAGCATAAGGGCTTATAGGGCCTCGTGGACCACAGTAAAGACAGGCTTTTATTCTGAGTGAGATGGGCAATCATTGCAGGCTTCTCATTGCAGGCTTGTGAAGAGGGAGTGGTATGATCAAACTCCCATTCCAACATGATCATTCTGACTACTGTGTAGTGAATAGAAGGAGAAGGGTAATTTAGAAAACTTTTGTACTATCTCATTAAATCAGCACAATCATGCCACTTAGTTACCCCACATTTTACAGTGATTATATTAGAGAGTAATCTAGGCATGATTAAACAATGACTACGTGGTAGAACAAGGATTCAGAGCCACTAGGCCTGTAATGTCCTGCCAGATTGTCAACATAGGGATGACTCTTAGAGGTCATCTTTGTTCTACAGATGGGAAAATGGAGGCTCCTCTCTGGTCAAGGTCACAGCTGGGTCAGAGAAAAGGCCTAGTCCGGAATAAACTTTATATAATTATGGTTCCCTTTTCCAGTGAAACTGGGTTGTCTTCAACCCTAGTCCAACTCTACTGCTTAATTTAAAGTGTAAGTTGATTGAATTATAACCAACTTTATGTACCATAAAAAAAAAGTTAGGTGACAAACTGTGATATAACAATTGAATTAATTCATAAATTAATGACCCTGCTTAAAGAATCCAATTAAGTATTTAATACTTGTTTGAGTACCTATTATGTACTAGGCACTGGAAATATAGGATTAAATGAGACAGACAAGACCTCTGCCCTCTTGGAGTTTATAGTCTAATAAGGGAGCTAGATATTAAGCATAGTTATACAAACCAAATGTTGCTTAATTGGAGTTGTGGTAAATACTGCAAGGGTAAAATACAATGTGCAGTTCAGAGCATATGGTTTGGAGGGGGCTACTATCCTATGACAGTACTATTCCTATGATCACGCTCTGAACTTATGACTACTTTTGAAAACAGTTTCAAATATCCCACTGTCTAACAAGACATTCCTTTCTCCCAACTCGCTTGTTCTGGAAACACCACGGCTACAAAAGTCTGATCTCAAATGAGTTCTTCTTTCCATTTACCCCACCACTTCCTTGTTACCTATCATCCCCTCCTGTCTTCACTTTCTTCCTCATCCAGTTTAGACTCTATAAACCATCATTATTAAAATGTTTAAATATTTTAAATGCTTAAATATTTATTTAAAGATAGAGAACAGAAGCACATAATATAAAATTCAGAAGGTGCTAAAAGGAATACAGTTAAAAGCCTCCTTCCTCTTCCTGGGGTAATGTAATGTTCTGTGTTGTGGTAGGTATTTGGGTTATTCAAGTGTATGCATTTGTCAGAACTCAGCCAGTGTACCCTTAAGATTTTTGCATCTCATTCAAAAGAAAAAAGAGTAAACAAAATTTGAGTTTAGTTAATGATATTCATGCTGAAGAATTTAGGGATAACTTATGTTTACTATTTGCTTTGAAATGTATCCAAAAAAGATGGATTTTTAAAAATATTTATTTAATTATTTTATTTATTTGGCTGAGCCGGGTCTTAGTTGCAGCACGCAGGATCTTTAGTTATGGCATGCAGGCTAGAGCTTTAGTTGTGGCACGCAGGATCTTTAGATGCGGCATGCAGGCTAGTTCCCTGACCAGGGATTGAACCTGAGCCCCCTGCATTGGGAGTGCGGAGTCTTAACGGCTGGACCACCTGGGAGGTCCTAATAAGATGGATTGATGGTTGCATAGAAAGGGGACAAAGCAAGTTAGCAAAAATGTTAATGACAATGTGGGGGTGGGTTTACTAGTGTTCTCTATGTAAAATCTTTCAGCTTGTCTACATGTTTGAAATTTTTCATAATGAAGTGTTGTAGGAAATTTATTTTAATAGGCCCCCTTCCTCCACAGTCCCTCAGGCATCCATTCTCCCTTAATCAGAGACAACCACAATTATAATAAATTTCTTGTGAATTAAAACATTAAAAAAAAAAAACAGGGCTTCCCTGGTGGCGCAGTGGTTGAGAGTCCGCCTGCCGATGCAGGGGACACGGGTTCGTGTCCCGGTCTGGGAAGATCCCACATGCCGCGGAGTGGCTGGGCCCGTGAGCCATGGCTGCTGAGCCTGCGCATCCGGAGCCTGTGCTCCACAACGGGAGAGGCCATAGCAGTGAGAGGCCCGCGTACCGGTAAAACAAACAAACAAAAAAACATACTCTTTAACATCTTTTTTTCCCCACTCAGCTGTATGATATAAATCTCTGAAAAATATGTTTGTGCTTATTTTTTTCACACTTCATTATAGAATCCAAACAAGACTAGCAGACCCTAAAGCACCTGTTGCTTCCAGGATGTTTGGGATTGTTACTTCCAAAATAGGCTCTTGAAGTCCATTTTTGACACAATAGCTATAAAGTCAAAGCTTTTCATTTGTAAGAAGCAAAAAACAAAGCTTTGTGCATATAAAGGTAGTATGTAAAGTTTAATCAATAAACAAAGAACTGGTGAAAAACTAGATGGGGCATCAAGGGTTTTCAAGATTTTGGAGTGGGAGAGGGAGGAAGATGGCTATTGGGGCTTCCTAGACCTTTGGGTACTACATGGAGAAAAAGAAGAGTTCACCTCGAAAGACTGTACCATTGCCTGGCACCAGGAAGACCCACAAATCCAGCCCTAAACCCAACCCTAAGCCTAACTGTAACTGGAATTGAACTGTATCCCTATATCAATTTCTATCCTTATTCCTAATCCAGAAGATCCTACTTTGCTGTGAAGGAGGATGCCACACCTTGCCAGTGATGACGGGTGTATTACTTGCCTTTCTTGGGAGAGGGTATCTTAGAGGCAGCTGCCTTCTCCATATTGCATAAAAGCAATCACCTTAAGTCTGCTCAGCCCATGGGACTATATTTGGATGACTTCCTCTTCCATGGCCCCAAACACTCCTAAGCTCCACTTCCATCTCCAGAAAGTGGGACCCTGGACAAGATGGGTGACTGGGGGATGGGGAGATAAGGAAGTGAAATCCCCACTAGCAACTTAATTAAACTGAAGAGAACCATCCTAAGGTTTCCACCCATAGGACAAGGTCAGGATATACATGTTATGTAATCACTTTCTTGAAAATATCTACAACCTAGCCCCTTTTCCTCTGTTGTACATAAGTAATAAAATCACAACCTTCAATAAACCCTCTCAGTCTTCTTCATGCCTACACCCAAGTAGCTGAACATTGCTGGACAAAAGCCCAAAACCAGGTTGAGTGGTTTCTCTTTAAACTCAAACTCAGACCTCAAATGGGAACTTAACACTACCCAACAATCCTGTCCTATTTTTCTCTGTTGGGCTTGCTCTTCCACTGCATTCCCTTGTACACTTGTTTCATTTCATAACCTCTTACTCCCCTTCCTCCTCCAGTAGATTACCTCCATCCATACTTCATTGCAAAAATAAATGGCATCTTTCCTTTCTTCTCCCATGAAATCTTCAGACTTCTGTCCTTCCATCTTTTAATTCCTTTCTCTTACTGTATTATTGGCCAGGCCCCTCCTCCAGCCCAGTACTTCTACTTATATTCTGGATCCCATCTCAAGAACTAGCCATCACCCACCTCTTTTGTATCATCAGTTTTTTTACCCTCTCTCCTATTTTATTCCCATCAGCATAAAAAACATGTTCAGAAGCATCTTTCATCTTAAAAGAATCCTTCCTTTAATTTCCTCATCAGTTTTAATCGTCACTGCCCTGATTTTAATTCTCCACATCTTTCAGTGCACTTCTCCACTTTCCCTTTCCTGAAAGGCTCTCCTCTCTTGGCCTCCATGACACCAAACTCTCCTGTTTACCACATCATGGTTATATCTCTCTCATATTGTGCCCTTCTCCTCTACTTAACGTTTATGGTTATAGTTCCTTGGAGCTCTTAGACCCTCTTTTCTCTATATACAATTTCTCCTTTAGTGAT